AAGGAACTTTAATGGAGAGGCTCAGCACCTGTCTCTTAAGCACCTGCTGTGTGCCAGGGCTCAGTCCTGGGCAGGCATTCTGGGCCCAGTTTAATGCAGGGCAGGATGAGGGAGGTGGGAGAGCCTAGAAGCCAGTGTCCTCAACCCCAGCTCAGGGTGAGCTCCCCTGCTGGCCTGGGCCCGTGCACACAACTCTCCCGCCCGATGGCAGTGTCCGGCCAGGAGTCGCCCCGAGTGCCCTGCTGGGTCTGGGCGGCCCTGGGGAAGAAGGACAGACTTTAGTAGCAGTGCCAGGAGGCGGCCAGAGGAGCCAGGTCCCCCCCAAGCTGACAGGGCTCAGGAGATGGGAACATCTGGGAAGGCAACTGTGCCCTCCCTGGTGCTCCAGGACCCTGGGGGTAGTCGGGTGGTCCAAAGCAGGCCCACTGTGCTCGAGGCTGGGGGTCCCTGCAGAGCTGGTGGCTGCTTCGTGCCCCTGACTCTGTCGCCCACCCACTCCCTCTCTCTCCAGGACCTTGTGGGGGCCGGGAGAGGAGGGCCCCAGCTGCAGACTTCCTCCCACCTTGCTGGCCCGTCCTGCTCTCTGTGAACTCGCACAGACAGCCAGCCGGGGCTCTGAGAGAGCCGGTGGGTGGAGGAATGGGAGCGGGTTTCCCAGTAAGTAGAGGACCACCAAGGCAGACAGCCGGGGAGGGTGCCTGGGATCCCGGAACTCTGCAGAGCTGAACTCTGACTGCACATGAATGCCCGGAGAGGTGAGACTCTGGGGACTGAGAGGCCGCCCGGCCAGGCAGCAGCTGCTGGGAGCAGTGCCCAGCACCCCTTGACCCAGAGCCCTGCTGCACCCCTGCCAGGCAGCCCCACCCCTGTGTTGCCCATCCCCACCTGAGCTGGGAGGTTCCGGACTGCTCAGCTCAGAGGCTGCCCCAGGGCTAGGCCAGGCGCGTTCCTGCCCTGGGTGGGGCTGCCCCTCAGTTGCACCGGCTTCTGGGAAGCCAGCACGAGGAAGGGAGGCAGGCCCTTTCTTGCCAAATGCAACCCAGGCAGGGATGTGTCTGCGGGTACAGACAGAAGCAGGCAGCAGTGAGTAAGGCCTTGGCCAGAGCCTGGGAGGACCCAGGACATGGTGTCTCACCCTCTGTGAGCCACCCCTCTTCCTGGTTTGTAAACACAGATTGTTGTAAGGATTTAGTAAGATGACACCCATAGTGTGTAGCACCACACCTCGAACCAGGGCCGTTTGTCTGGGCATTGCTGCAACACCAGAGGGGTAGCAGAGGAGGAAGACCCTGGACACATTCATTCAGGGTTTGCTTTTCGTCTTTCAGGAGACACTCATCCCAATGCAGCCCTACTAAGTTTCTCCTTAAGTATGGTACTTGTATTTATCTAGCTCTGAAGTCTGTGACCCAGAGCCCTCCGGCCTTGGGCATAATAACCAGCTACGTAATTTACCAGGCCCAATGCAAAAGGAAAACACAGGGCCTCTTGTTCATAAATTACGAATGACCTCAACCCCGTGACAGAGAGCAGTACAGTGGCCCCAAGGCCCTGCTAGGCATGGGGGCTTGGTGAAGCCTGCTCGCCCTCCAAGTCAGGGGCAGGGTGACGTCCCTACGCTGCCCATGGTTTTAATCCCTTTTTTTTCTTGTATAACAGGATGTCTGAGCCTGAGTAATTTATAAAGAAAAAAGGTTTATTTATTTAGCAGCACTGGGGATTGAGTCCGGGCTCTCATGCATGTTAAGCAAGTACTCTACCCAGAGCTACATTCCGAGGCCTAGCCAAAGTTTTATTTTGAGATAGGGCCTTACTAAGTAGCCCAGGCTGGCCTTGAGCTATAATCCCCCTGCCTCAGCCTCCCGATAGCTGGGATTACAGGTGTGTCCGGTGGAGCCTGACAAGAGGTATATTTTAGTTCATGGTTCTGGAGCTCAGTCCAGGATGCGGCAGCCTCGCGTCGGAATGATGGGGCAAGTGGGCATGTGGGGTGGGGAGAAAGAAGGCCAGGCCCCCGAAGTAGCAGACCCACTCCTGGGAGGAAGCGCCACCCAGAGGCAGTGAGAGGCCACAGCACCCGGCAGACAACTGTGCCCGCCTGGGGAGCTCCCACTGACCTCGTGCTGAAACTGCTGCTGCTCTTCCTTCTTGGCAAGTGGATCCTGGTGTGCCTTTCCCCGTGATACGCTGCTTCTGCGAGTTGCCAGCCAGGGGGAATGGCTGTGCCAAGCACCGGGGTATCAGGGGAAGGGACCCCATGCCACGGGCCCCTTCTCCCATAACCCGTGGCTTCTTCCAGAGCAGTCACCCGTTCCCCTTCTGTCCGCGCAGGCTGGCTCCTTGCACAGGCAGTGGGTCTCCGAGCCCATTTCTGGGCATGGGAGAGGGCACACAAGGAGCAGCTCTGTCCCTCCCTCGAGTCTCTCCTCGTGGTGCCAACCAAGCCTTCACCTCTTTGGAGGCGGTTTCCAGACATTCAGCCTACTTCGAGTGGTTTTCCCTGGAAAAGCCACCTTTCCTCTGGAAAGATCCACTTTGGCTGTCGTGCACTTGTGTGACGGAGACCAGCAGGTTTCTGCTAGAAAGTCTAGGACATTAAACAGCTGCTAGGAGACCAGTGGCCCAAGTGTTTGGCTTTGCAGATGTGAGCAGTGAGGGCCAGAGGAGTTAAGCCACTGGCCTGAGGCCACACAGGTAGTTACCAGCAAGCAAGACCCTGGGAACGGGTTCCAGGTCTGACACCCCTGCTCTGCAGGCCCCTTGGTTCTTTGTCACTAGAGGAGAGGAAGGAAGCGTCCGGAGTAAGGGCAGGGTCCGCACAGCTGTTCCGTAGCCACGCCTGCCTGCCTCACCTCTCCACCCCACCACCCCATCTCCACATCCCTCCAGCCCTCAGGCAGCAGCCTTGTCTGCCTCCCAGCCAGGGGTGTGGGTGAAGGGTGCTTCCCACACCAGGCGGGCAAGGCACAAGGCGTGCTCTGGTGGGCTGAAGACGCCCCTCCAGAGCAGAAGTTTTGGGTGATAACAGTGGAATTGGATTAATTCTGCACATCCAGGGACTGAGAAACCGTGTTTTAGAAAGACTTTTTAGGGCTGGGGATTTAGCTCAGTGGTTTCACCGCCTGCTGCGCAATCGCAAAGGGATAGGGAAGGGGCGGCCTGCTGATGGGAGGTGAAAGGGACAGGCATGAGCCCAGGTCGTCTGCCCGCCACTCCTGTCCAGCCCACCACGTGTTTCTGTTAATAAAGTTTTATTGGGACACGGCCCACTGATGCTTTTCATGTTGTCTGTGGCTGGTTTTACACTGCAGCAGAGGAGTTGGGCGGTCTCCACAGAGGCCCCCAGAGCCCAAGAGACTTACTCTCCTGCTACTTACAGACCTCTGTCCTAGCAGAACCGGTCTTCCTGGGCTTTCGAGGCCTAGGCAGATGCCTACCATTGGCTCGCTGAAAAAGTTTGCCTTCCCAAACATTTCCGAGGAAGAACCCCAGAAGGAAGGTGTACAGACGTGAAAGCCCTGTGGGTGGAGAGAAACAGGCTGACCTCCTAGTGGGGTCAGGGTGGGCTAGCCGTGCAGGGCCAGGTGGTGTTGGGTGGTCCAGACACTTGCCTCCCGGGGTGTAGCTAGGCCTTGCTAGGAGAGCAGCCCACTCAGCCACGTCTCGGGTGCTGTGGGAGGAAGTTGGAAGCTAGATGTGGGCACCAGGCAGGAAAGCCTCCCATTTTGAAATCAGGCCTCGGTTGGCCACAGGAGCTTAAGGACTGGAGGTCCTTCCTCAGCACCAGCCTGGTCCCTGGGCCAGCACCGCCCCTCTTCTCCCAGGGGCTTCTGACCTGAGGCCTGGTGAGGTGAGAGCAGGCACCTCAGCACCTGGAGACCAGCTCTGCTTGTCCCTCTTCCCCCGGGGGCACAGCCTAGATCAGAGCCCAGGCAGTCACCTGCAGAGGCCTCTCTGACCCTCTCCCCAGAGCCCCACTGTGGGTGTGCAGTGAGATCTGGTGGGGCCAGCTCCCTGGTTCTCCATGGGAGTCAGCTGCAGATGGAAGGAGGCTTGCTGAGCGAGGGAGAGCGGAGGGTGCCTTAAATGGTGACAGCGAAGTTTTATTGCCTCAAGTCTGCGTCCCCGTCCCCGTAAGATATGGATACTCTACTAGCTGTGCAGCCTTCGGCAAGCTTCTTAACCTCTCGGCTTCAGCTTCAAGTGGGAGGAACCCTAATACTTAGCATTGTAGGTTGGTTGTGAAAAGGAAGAGTTACTCCATGTAAGAGCTAGGTGTGAAGCTCGGGAGATGAGATGATAAATGCTGCGAGAAGGCCCGACGGCCCTCCTGGGCAGCGCTGGGTGGGCAGTGCAAAGGCTTGTCTCTCGGGCTCGCATCCCAGCATGTCCTATAGCTGTCCCACTGCAGCCAGTGCTGCGCCCCTTGGAGATGACGAACAGCCCCACAGGTGAGGGGTCTGAGCCCAGGGCTGGACACCTCTGCCGAGCCTGATCACTAGCAGTGCCCCTGGGCTGGGCGGGGACTTGGGCGCTCTGGGGTGCCCTTCCCCTCCTCTGGGCTGCCATCTCCCTTGGCCGGGCTGTGTAGCCGCTCGGATAAGACATCAGGCTTAGTGGACGTGGCACCCAGAGACGTGGCCTTCGGGGGCCAACCCTGGCAGCAGTGGTTCTGGGTCTGGGCTGCCGAGCCTGCTGTCCCCAGAGGACCCCACCCACATGGTCACAAACGAGGACACCACTACAGCCTGAGGGTCCGTTCCGGGAGGGGCCGAGCAGGATGCCCTGTGGTGAGTGGATTCCTGCTTGCCAACAGACACCTCATTATCCCTGCCTGGGCTCTAATCACTCAGTCCACGCCCGGCGGCCCCAGAGCCAGGAAAACCCCCCCCCCCCCGCCCCGCCCCACCCCGCCCCGCCTACACCAAGCCTGAGTACAGCCTAACGGTTCTCTCTCTGGTTCTCCTCCTGCTGCTGCCGGCTCTCTGGGGACTCGGAAGTGTGGCTCTCCAGCTGGGCTGAGTCTCCCAGGAAGGACGCGACAGGTACTACCCGGCGAGCATGTGTGTGCATGTGTGTGAGCATGGGTCCCAGCACACTTCGGAGCCTGCGCCACGCTGCTTTCTGCATGCTTCCCGGGGACGAGTGGCAGCTGTCGACAGCCACTGGGCACTCTGCCTGCCCGGAGAGCCCTTCAGCTCTCAGACCCAGCCTGGGCGCCCTGGGCCGTGCCGAGGACATCACGCAGCTGGGTGTGTGGCTTTGGGGCCCAGCTCTACCACATCCTGGCAAGTGTGCAATCCCTGAGGTCGAGAGCTAGCTGGGCCCTGGTTCAGGGCAGGCGGCAGGCGGCATGGCTGCTGCCCTCGGTGCTGTCTCGGGCCGTCCTGGTGAGAATGGGCTGGCCAACCAGGGATGCGTGGCACACTTCAGCTGCGCTGAGGCCGAGCTGAGGGCCGGGTCACGGAGCCTGGTTTCCAGAGATCCACTGGCAGCTGGGGATTCTGGGGGGCGGGGCCGCCCCGGGCAGAGGGAGGTCACAGCCCCGGTGACCAGCAGTCCGGAGCTCGGAGCTGCCTCCAACCTGGCTTGGGCCTGCCTGGCCAGCATGGCCCTCGGGCTCAGGCCCTGGCCATGCCTGGGCAGAGCTGAGCCCACTCAAGGCCTTGCCTTCAGCCTTTGGTCTTCCTGGACCCAGAGGGCAGGGTTTCCAGCGCTGCAGGGAGTTGGGGGATTTCCAGGCTGGTCTTCTAGGGGCTCCTTCATTTCTGAGAGCAGAAATCTAGGCTAGGAATTTGGGGAGCAGGGCAGAGGGGTCGAGGGTCACGTGGGCCGGCCCCTTCAGGAGTTAGACTCACCCCATCCTGCCACAGCTGTTGGCAGGGGACGGGAGCCGAGTCCCGGGAGAGGGGCCAGGAGGAGAGAGGCAGCTGGGGGAGGGCCCCGTTCCCGTGCAGCCCCCTCCTGGTTTTCCCTTGGTGAGGGCCTGGGCCTGAGCTAATCACTGGGCGCCTGTCCCTTTTTCCCCTCCACGCACGCCAGGCTGCTGGAGCCCACTTGGCCCACAGTCATGCATTTTATTCCCCCAACGTATAGCGGAGGGGCCAGGAGGGACCAGCTGTGAGGGGTTGGAGGGGCCTTGGTGCAGTGCCCGGGCCCGGGAGGGTGGTGGGAGCCTGGGGCAGAGACTGCCATGGTGCCAGGGGTCTGCTGAGGGGGAGCCCAGAGGCCCCAGGGAGTCCGTCAGGCCCCACGGGGAAGGACCCAGCTGGACCTGGGAGCCGGGCAAGTCACCAGGACTCTCTGGGCCGGAATGTTGAAGAATTCCATGAGACAGGAAACTCAGAGGGGACAGGCTGACAGCAGACATCTGGCAGATAGGAGTCCTGGGGTGCTCAGCTGACACCCCAGAGTGGCCCCCGGGTGATCTGGCTCTCCCCTGGCAGTGCCCGCTGCCTGCCAGAGGGGCCTGGGAGAGGTAAGGCCACAGCCTGGGTCTCCTTTCCCAGCCTGTGGCCCTTACCCTGAGCTGCCCTGCTGCTGAGCCCTTGGGAACCAAGGCTTCTCCAGCTCCTCCTGAGCCTGCCATTCCCTCTGCTTTATAAACAGCTGTCTTTGTGGGCCTTAAGCCCAGCTGCTTCCCTCCATGCTGAGAACAGCACCACAAGGTGCTCTCACTGTTTACACGAGGACACCGAAGCTCAGAGAGGCTGCGTCCTCCCCAGGACCACAGAACGAGTGTAGGAGAAGTGGGACTGACCGAGACCCGAGGACTCTGAGCACCTGCGATGTGAGTCTCAGAGATGATTGTGTCCTGTGTCCAGTCCGTGGCCCCAGTCCTGGGGCATCAGCTCTCACCAGGCTGGCTTGGGGCTGTGACCAACAGAAGGTCCAGGAGACAGCGAGCGGGCTGGAGCCATGCGGAGCAAGCCTCCTGCAGGGGAGCAGCTCTGGGGTGGAGTTGGGAGCGACACTCGACTGGAAGGCTTCCTAGGCAGGGGGCAGCGGCCCCAGCGAAGGCTTAGAAAGAAAGAACGTGCCCAGAACAGTGTTGCTGGCCCATAGTAGGTGTTCCAACACCTGAGTGTGAATTAAATGCTGTATGGAATGGGGGGGGCCCTTCAGGAGCTCAGATTGCAAGATGACGGGCTTGAATTTGGCCTTTATTCTTTAGGCAACAGGGAGCCACAGAAGGTGTTGGAGCAAGGAACTGACTTGGCAAAGGCGTCGTTTAGCCATTTAAATTGGCAGCCAGGGTTGGGCAGGAGCCGGGGTTCCAGTCAGGTGGTGGCTGGAGCAGTGCAGGCATGAAGCACAGGCACGGTGGGTGGGGGTCCCAGGGCCCAGGGGCCCAGCTGTGGCTCTGCACTGAGCACAAAGGCCCACCCTGGCTGAGGCACACAAAGCCCCTGCTCCGGGGAGGCGCTCACTGTCTAGAGAGGTCTGCCCTCCTCCCTGCTCCTGCCAGACCCTGTCTGAGCGCAGGAGCCTCCTTCCACTGTCCCTCCCTCTGGCAGACTCCTCCACCCCCAGTTTTCCGGACCTTGGCAGGAAGGACCTAGGGCCGCCTCTGGGCTGACATCACCGCCCGCCAGCCGCCGGGCCTCCGGGCCTCCGGGCCTCCCGGCCTCCCAGTGGCTCCTCATCCGTATACCTGCTCCCAGCGCCTGCCCGGGGTCCAGGCTCCCCGAGAGGCAGGCACCAAGTGGGAGCCCGTGCACATGACGGGCAGGGAGGACAGCCAGGCGGACAGCGCGTGTTGGTGGAGTGACCGTCCCCAGCCTGTGGAGCAGCCCCCAGGGGCTGCAGCCTATCTGCACGCTGCCCATTGGAGGCTTTCTCTCTGCTGTCCCCCCCGCGTCCCACGGTGCCGGAGGCCCCCAGAGCGCTCAGGCCGATTTTCCAGGAAGGTAGGGCTGAGGGGCTGGAGTGTGGCGGGGGCCAGCCCTGCTGCCCAGCTGTCGGCTGCATTTCTGCCTGAAATACAATCCCAGCTCTGGACGGGCTGCCTGGCCGCATGTGTACGCCCATGTGGCACCCCTCAGCTAGGACGTGTTTCCCCAGGTCTCCAGAGGCCCTGCGGGGCTGCCGTGGAGGAATGCTGTCAGGGCAGTGGAGCCCTTTCCTTCCAAGGCGGGCTCCCACTGGGCTTTCCCCAAGTTCTGTGGCCGTCGCCCCTAGCTCTGGGGCAGATGGAGGACCCCAGGTCTAAGCAGTGCTTCTCACTCTGGCTACACACCAGGACCACAGGCGTGGGCCTTAGCCACTTGTGCCCGGGCCCTGGTCTGGGCCCCTGAACCTCTGAAGCCCAGGTGTCAGTGACTTATTTGCTTGGTTTGGTTTTAGACACAGGGTCTCCCTATATAGCCCTCCATGTGCAAAGTGGTCTTGGATTCGTGACCCTCCTGCCTCAGCCTCCTGAGTGCTGGGATTGCAGGCCTGCGTCACCAAGCCCAGCTGGCGTCCGTGCTTTTAAAAAGCTCAGGTGGTTCTGTGCCATCAAGTGAGTGATCATTGTGCGGGAAGAGCCGTGTGTCTGCGAACAGCTCAGACCCCAGTGAGTGGTCCTGGTTGTCTCCCTACCCTCTGGGGGATGGGGGTGAGTTCCTGCCTCTCGGAGCCTCTGATAGGTCCCTGAGATGGGAAGTGTGAGCTGAGAATGTGCCTGGCACAGAAGTCACACCCAGGCAGCCCTGTGGAGCCTGGAGACCCTCGGCCATTCCTAGAGCCCAGTGAGTGTGGTGAAGCCCCCAGTCTTCCAGGAGATTGGCAGGGGTGCAATTTCGTTTTGCTTTTGAGACAAGAGATCTTGCTGTGTTGCCCGGGCCTGTGTTGAACTCCTGGGCTTGAGTGATCCTCCTGCCTCAGCCTCCAAGTGCTGAGACTGCAGATGTGTCACTGTGCCTGCCTGGAAGACACATAGTTTAAGGGTACTGTGAGCTCCCTTTGGGCTGGGCATGCTCTGGAGAGACTTCCTGAAGGAGGTGACCCTTGGTCTCTGGCTTGTGGGTTCCCTTCTCCCCAGCAGGGCTGTGGCATCACAGGTGCTGGTGCGGTCGTGGTTGAAGCATGAGAAGCTCACGCAGCCGGTCACAGCCTCCAGTCATGGCCGGTGAGGCCACTGGGCCCCAGGCTGTCTGCCCTCCTGCCTGGTGTGTGCTAATGACTGGGGCCCCTGGTCCGGTGGCCGCGGGCCAGAGAAGGTGAATGCGCCTGGGGTCCTGGCGCCCTCCCCTGCTGCACCCCAGCTTTGCCCCCAGCTCCTGAAGCTGCTGGGAAGGGTGGCAGAGACTGCTGGAGCATCACCCCCACTGCAGCACTCAGGGCAGAGGGAGGCTGGGTGGGCTGTGCAGGGAGAGGCGGCCGCAGGCCGGCGCAGGCTTCTGTGGAGTCGAGGCTGGGCCTGGCCTTCGGGAGCCAGCGGGGCAGGAATGGAGCCTGGAGCCGGGCTGGCCAGTGCTGGCCTGGGACTTTCTTCTTGAGTTTCAAGTAAACAGCCTGGGCCTCCTCCCTCCCCTGCCTCCACCTCCTGCTCCTCATTTGGCGGGCGGCGGTCTCATGTGTTTCTATTTAAGGGTTGTGAGTAAACCCCAGCGATTGGCGGCCTCAAACCCTCGCCGCCTCAGCAGGCAGGCTGTGGAGAAGCCTGTCCCTCTCCCGCCCCGAAGGGAGCAAGGCTGCCTTTCTCTCCGGCTTCCCGGCTCTGGTGGAGGCAGGGGCCTGCTCCCGGCCGCCTCCCTCTCCTCCTCTTCTCTTCTGCACTGCCCAGCCCTCACGGCCGCCCGCCTGCCGGCCCACTCACCGGCCCCCAGCCTAGCCCAGGGCTCCCCCATGCCCATGCTGGGCGGTGACTGACGAGGCAGCCGAAGGCTCCCAGTTTCCTTGGCCGCCTCTGCCTCTCTCCTCCCCCTGCTCCCCATGTGCCCCGGTCCCCGCTGTGCAGCGGGCCGGTGTGGGGCCTCGCTATATGGCCTGTCCCTGGGGCCCGGTGAGCCGCGAGCCCTGGCTGCGGGCTGTGCCTCCGAGCAGTGCTGGCGACCGGGCAGCCTCCCCCAAGGCCGATGGACAGAGGGCGCCCTGGCCGCGGGGCCATGGCCGGCCGCTGGCTCACCGCGTGCTTTCTGCCCTCGCCAGGTGCCGACACCAGCGCCGAGCCCATGATCCTGGAACAGTACGTGGTGGTGTCCAACTATAAGAAGCAGGAGAACTCGGAGCTGAGCCTCCAGGCCGGGGAGGTGGTGGATGTCATCGAGAAGAACGAGAGCGGTGAGTGCCCGGCGGCCCTGGGGCTGTCCACACCGGCCCGGCCTGGCTCCTGGGCCGCGCAGGGTTTTGTTCCCTCCCTCCTCCCCCACCTCGGCAGCTATGCGTTATTTCCATCTGGCAGGGAGAAGCCGGGAGGCTGAGGTTCCCCCTGTTGGTTTGGGCTGCAGGCCAGCAGCTTGCCTGGTGCTGGAAGAATGTCTCCCCGGCTTGAGACGGTTAACTGGCTCTTGTGAATGCAAAGGCAGGGTGGCAGCCGTGGGTGTAAGTGTCCAGCCTTGCTCGGGGACCTGTGCCATCCAAAGCCTGTGTGGAAGGTGGCTTCCAGCTAAGGGGCACCCAACCGCAGCCTCCCCTGTTGGGGCAGACTTCCAAGCCGGGGCCAAGGCGGAGGCAGGAGAACCCAGCCAGCTGGGGGTGGGAGGAGGCAGGCCCTGACATCACCACAGGGTCCAGAGTCCCCAGGCCCCTGGTGAGCTGGCTGGCTGGTGTCTGGGCAGCGACTGGAGTCCACAAGGGCCTGGGGATGGGGCCCAGTGGAGCATGAAGCCAGGACCCATGCCAGGGAGGGTCCCGCAGCAGCTGCTCTTCTTCAGGAGCTGGCACAGGGGCAGCCATGCCGAAGGCTCCCCGAAGGCTGCTGGGTCCTGGTTCTTGCAGAGTGGGCCAGAGTCCCTGGGTAACACGAGTCACCACAGGTGGAGAAGGAGAGCCCGAGTCGGACAGCCAGAGCCCAGGGGGCTCCTGTGCCCCCCGAAGGGCCAGGATGGGCCCTGGACCCAGGACACGGCCGGCACCTCATCTGCAGCTTGGTAGGCAGCCCTGTACTGGAGTCCTGGTGTCCGGTTTCGCTTTCAGTTTATTTGCTGGGCTCAGCCCCTATGTGCAGCGTCCTGGCCTGTGCCTGGCGGACAGTCCCAGAGAGGCGGGCCTGTTCTGCCCTCGTCCCCTCAGTTCCCTTCCGGTACTTTGAATCCCTTAAGGGAAACAAACCAAAGAGCCGCCAGGCCACTCAGTAGATGGGGTGGCAGCCGCGGGCTTAGGGTCAGAGTGACGGAGGGGCGAGGCACGGGGGCGGAAGCGGCCTAGGTGGCCCTGGCACCTGATTCCCGGGCTCTGGGAATCAGAGGAATCAGCAGGTAGCTGTGCAGAGGCCGAGGAGAAGCCACTGGCTCCATGCCTCTCAGAGGCCCCTCTGGGACTGTCCCAAAGGAAGCTGGCGTTGCTTGCTCTAAAGGCCTAAGCCCGAGACCCAGAGGCAGGGGTCTCACGGTGGGATGGGAGGCGCCAGGGAAGGAAGGGGATGCTCGTTTGCTTGCTTGGAAGCTTGTGCCTGAGAGACAGAGGCCCTGTGTTGTGAGGTCAGTCCGCACACGTGCTGGCCTGGGGATGCCTCTGCCTCCCACCTGGCCTGTCTCACCACGCAGCAGGACCTGGGGAGTCTTTGGGGTCAGCCCCACTTGTCCTGCTCTAAGAGCCGATGATTCCCAAGGGCATGTGTGCCTTACCCCGTCCCATCCCACCTCTGGCATCCTAGGAATACTTCAAGTCCTGCCTGGCAGTGGGGAGGCAGAGCCTGGGAAAGTCAGGAGTTTCTTAGGCCTGGGCGTGGTATCCAGACTCCTGCTCTGCTCAGAGTTCCGCATGGCTGTGACGGCCCGGCCCCTGCTCCCAGCGCCACCTGTGGCAGCCCAGGCTGGCACGTAGGTCCTGTGGGGAGATGCTGTCCCAGCCAGCATTCTGCCCACCACCTGCTGGCCACATGGCTTCAGTTATCCCATCTGTAAGATGGAGGTAACCTTGTGACCACTGGCGAAAGAGGCAGCAGAGCAAGTGGCCTCTCTGAGCCCTCTCCCCGGTCTGACTCCGTGGCTGGGTTACTCAGTAGTGGCCTGGTGTCAGGAGAGATCCTTGGCTGTACGTGCCTTTTCTGCTTCTCTGGTGGAGTCAGCTGCTCAGCCTCAGATGTTTGCACAGGGTCCTGAAAAGTGCTAGGGTCCCCATGCAGACCTACACTGTCACCAGCAGGAGCCAGGAGGCCTGGGGCTTACAGCCAGCTAAGACAGAGCCTTGGAGCTGCTGGAGGGAGAGGGTGAACTTCAGATCCTGGGAGGTGGCGCCCCGAGGGAAGCTGGAGGCCACTGCAGGGGAGGGGATGTGCATCCTGCAAGCTGGCTTGGGAAGGAGTGGTGAGTGAGGCCTTGAACTCTGGAACAAAGACCCCATTGTGATGCCTTTGACCTGGGACGTGGGTGTGCTAAGGCGTTCCCACTGGCATTGTTGGGGCAGCAGCCCTAGCTGGCACCTCCTGGGGCTTCCCCTGGGTGCCAGGTCTCTGGCGTGTGCCCTCTTGCTTAGCTGGAAGTCTCTCAGACGGGAGGTCCATGCCTGCCTTGAGGCCTGGCTGGGACCACAGGCAGCGAGCAAGTGGCAATGGACAAGCCAGCAGTCTCTGCCCTCATCTTTCTAAAGAGAGGGATCTGGAGAGTGCACCAGGCCCTGCACCTCACAAAGCCCTCCAGAATCATGGAACAGCCATGCATAGAAGGTATTTGAACCGTTTTTGGCTGAAGAACAGGCCAAGAAGTTAAGCAGTTTCCCTTGGAGTGGGAACTTGGAGGTCTGTCCCCTGTCTGGGGCACTGGGGGATCCTGAGAACAGGCTGGTCCGGGCCCACAAGTCCGGGAAGCGTGCGGTGGTGGTGCCGAGATGAATGCAGAGCTCCCTGGCACCCTGGCTGAGGGGCATCTCTGCCAGCATGGTCCCCATGGGCAGCGGCAGTTCCTGCTGCTGGCTGAGCATGTGAACGTGGAGGCGGGCAGTGGGGAGAAGCTCTCTGGAAAGTGATGTGTCCACAGCACTGAGATAACCCCGTCCATCCCAGGGAACAGAGGGGTGGAAACAGGAGACACTCGGGGTGGACCCAAGGAGCTCAGGGCAAGGGCTTCTGATCAGCCAGAGGCCTGGGGAGCCCCGTCAGGAAAGGACTGTCCCCCCCGCATGGCACAACAGGGTCACCCAGCAGGAGGATTAGACAGCCTTTGGCTTTGCCACCCAGTAGGCCGTGCCAGGGCATGTGGCGCCCCTTTTGGCTCTGTCTGTGGAAATCCTCCAGCTCTGACATGAGCAAGGGCCTGAGATGCCTCCGAGGGAAGACATCCCTGTGCCTCAGAGACCACATTGGCCTCTCCCCTCGCAGGCATCGCAGCTCTCACGACTGCAGAGTGGTGATGTCAGGGCCTGGCCGCTCTGACTCCTGTGTGAGCAGAGCTGCCTCCAGCTTTCCAGGGTTGTTTCCTCCTCCTCCGGACTGCAGGCCAGGTCAGGAAGCGGGGAGATGAGTCAACTGAATTTTTCCTGCCTCAGCTTTCCTGCTCTGAGTCTCTGCTTATTTCCTGGCCCTGATGTGATAGCCTAAGGGTTCTTGCGCTCCCTCAGAAGTAGGGAATTTTGAGCTCTTCTGGTCTGACCACGTATTTTACCAGTGAGAAAACTGAGCCTTCAGAGTCTTCCCCCATTTCCAACCCAGTACTTTGGTCCCAGTTGAGCTGTGAGCAGAGGATAGAAACCCCCTCCATCTTGGCTCAAAAGATTACTGAAAGGATGCAGAGATGTCTCACTGGGCCCAAGATTGAGAAGTAAATCCGAGCCTCAGGAGATGGGGGTGGGACAGAAAGTTGGTGCCAGGCAGAGCAGCTAGACTGTCTCTGCCTCTCTCTTGGGTACCGTGTGGACCAAAAGTGCAGCTGTTCGCTTCTCCCAGCTAAGCCAGCCTTGGGTTCTCTTCTTCTTAAGCCAAGACCCCAGCCTGTTCATGTGGTGCTGGTTGTCAGCCCTAGGCTCTGTGTAACACTCACTTGGGAAAGTTACCAGTAATTGACTCTGGTCTCTGGTTCTCTGAGTTCAAAAGGCAAAGTTTGAACTGGGTGCAGTAACATGCCTGTAGTGCCAGCTATTTGAGAGGCGGAGGCAACAGGGTCACTTGAGCCCCTGAGTCGGAAACCTCTGGGAAATAGAGCAAGACCCCATCTTTTTAAAAAACTGAAGTTCAAATCCGATTGGTTCCTGGCCATCCAGTGGATTAGTGCAACTTGAACCAGCTATCCAGCCCTTGTCCGATCGTCCATGTTCAGGAGAAGCACCAGACGGTACCTAGCACACATGGCTACCTAGCTAACCTCAGCTGTGGCTGTTGAGAGCAGGTTTTAAAGAGGATGGGGTGCTTGAGGATTGGGGTGCACAGTAACAGTGGTTGTAACCACTTACTTGCTTAGTAGCTCTACATGTAATGAAGAGAGCAAAGAATTTGGAATTCAAATGCTGGATTTAAGGTCTGTACTGTGGGCCGAGCATGCAGCTCAGTGCCAGAGCCCTTGCCTAGCTATATGCAAACCCCTGGTTCAGTCCCCAGCAGCACAAAAAGAAAAAGAAGAAGGTCTGATGCTAACTGTGCTATAAGTAAGAATCACTTCATGTCCTCCAGGGAGAGAGGGGCTGGTGATATACACAATGGTTTTTGTTTGTTTTTTTGTGCGTTTGTTTTTCAGGGTGGAAATACAGTGTTCATTCATTAATTTATTCACTAACTTATTTTGCAGTTTTTGAACACTGCCTTTGTCCCGGGCCCTGTGATAATTGGATATACACTCTTGGCCTCTGCAAACCTTAGAGACTAATTGATGTGAGATCATGGCACTTGTAGGGTAGACTGTACCATGACGATGGGATAGCTTTTCAGACTTTCCAGTGTCATAAATGGACTCTTAGGTGTATGTTCTATGTCTTTTGTTTAGATTTTGTGCTTACTAAGGAACCACTTTGTATTAGTCAGCTTTCCCATGCTGGGACAATACCTGACACCCATACCTTAAGGAAGAGAGCTTTATTTGGCTCACAGTTTCAGAGGATTCAGTCCGTGTCCAGCCAGCTCCAAAGCGGAAACATTGTGGTGGAAGGGCAAGGTGGAGCAAACTTGCTTGATTCTTGGCGGTCGTGAGAAAAGG